CTGCTGAGCTTCTCTTGGGTCTCCCTCCTGGCATCAACTGGATGAGGAAGATGGACAGCTCAGGTTCCAAGGACACCTTTTCTGGAATTGGCTGTCCAGGGAGGGTCTCCATTCTCGTGTGGTGACCCTCTCACTAGGCTTTGAGGTGTGGTCTGGCCCAGTTCAGTGCTGTGCCCCTGGGCATCTCCCAGACCTCCAGCATCCCCTTCCTTGGGCAGCAAGGGGCCATTTGCCTTTGTCCTTAACAGACCCAGAGCCCCTAGGGGACTCAGCCTCAGACTGGGAGTGCCCGGGTGCAGGGTCCATTTCTTCCCCAGCTCATACAGCATTGGCCTCCCCCAGAGAGAGGTGAGTGGGGCAGACCCTGTCCCTGTCTCGTGCCCACAGCTGGTTCTTGCTCACTCTCTTTCTTAGCTCCATGTCCTGCCTGCCAGGACCCTTTCCTAAGGAGAGCTCCTCCGTTGTCCTCGGAGATGGCCAAAGCACAGTCTGCGGCTTTGGGCCAGGGAGCTGCCTTAGCTTGGGCTCCCCTAACCAAACACCCCAGGCCAGTGGCTCACAGGACAGTCTGGTGACTCTCAGACCTGGCTTTCTCAGGTGCCAGCGCTGGCTTCTGGTGAGGCCCTGCCTGGCTTGTAGAAGGCCAGCTTCCTGCTGTGTCTGCACAGGGAGGGAGAGAGCTACCTCTGCTGTCCCGTTTCTAGAGGGCCACCGTCTATGGACCAGGCCACCCCATCCCTTCATTCAGCCTTGCTCACCTCCCAGAGGCCCTGTCTTCAAACACCATGATGTTGGGGTTAGGCTGCAGCGTGGGAATTTTGGGGGATACAAGTCAGTCCACAGCAGGGGCGTGCAGGCCCTCAGGGATTGTGGGTTTGGGGGTTTATTTAGGACTGTGCACTGTTCCAGGAGCTCAGGGTTGCTCTTAGATCACGCCCTGACCAAGGATGCGACCATGTCTGACTGGACAGAGGCCCTGCTGGCCTCCAGGCTGGGTAAAGAGAGAGACAGGGTCTTAGTGAGGAGGGTCGTGAAGGATTGCAGCATATCTTGCCTCATCTGGAAAGTGAACTTTGATGACACAGCGTGGAAACGGGATGGAAGCACCAGAGACCGACTTGTGGCTGCAATGTCACTGCTGTAGGGACGCCTCCTCCGAGAGGCCAGTGGTGGCTGACGTTCAGAGACCTTCCCAGTTCCAGTGAACGCAGCCTGTTCTCCTCTGTGGCTGGAAGCTTAATGTCCCCCCAATGAACACAGATGAGAGGCCTGGATGGCCTGTCCTGGACATTGCTACGCTCTCGGCGGTCCCAGGGTACCTGGGCTGGCACTTCTGAGAGGCTGACAGAGGCATTTCCAGTCTTTGACATTGTTTACCTGGTCCCACAGCAGAAGCCACCGGCCTTGGACCCGGCCCCCTGCACAGGGCTGTGCCCTGGCCCTGCCCTGACTTGTCCTGTGATTGCTTTCTGGAATAGTCTGAGGAGCTCCAGCACCTGCACTGCCATCCACCCCTGACAACAGCACCAGGCCTGCAATCACGCTTCTGTGGGGTCCTGGTGTCATTTTATATGTCACGTGTGAACAAAGCATCTGGCGCCTCAGAGGTACGGCCAAGGCCGTGCCCAGGATGGTCTGACAGAAATCACAGAAATGCAGGGAATCCGTGGTGGCTGTCTGATGCTTCCCAAAGGCTCCAGGCAAAGCCATCGGGTCTGGGCCAGGCAGAGCTCAGGCGGGCGCCGTGGGGGACAGCCTCAGTCTCTCAGCTGTTAGCAAGGTACATCTTACAGCCAATCTCACAGCCACAGCGTCTTTTAGATGGATAACCGTCTCTTTGGTGAAACTGAATTTTGACAGAAGTTGAAGAACCAGAACTCTCCAGTTAAGGTGGAAGTTGGGGACGAGGCCTGTGTCTCCTCACCTCCATGCAGGAAGCCCGAGGCACTGCTGGGGAGCATGGTGTGACAGCAGGGACCTGCCCATCTGTAAGATCAGCTCAGTGCTCGGCACCCACAGTGGTGCCCTTCATTGTCCCTTCATCAGGAGATGGACCTCTGATCACATTTCATTATGAAAAATGGCTCCATACTCCATTGATTTTGATGGATGATAGAAGGCCACGTCTCCATGCCCCTTACGCGGGTTAGCCCATTCACTGACGTAACAGCTCAGGCAGTGGAAAGTGGTCAATAGTACCCCGGCAGGGTGTGCTTTCCATCTGCTGGAAGGTCTTGTGACCCACATGCTCTTCCGAGCACGTCCTTGGCACGCCCCCTAGGTCTAGTGGAATCCATTTCCCATCAGTGTTCTACTAGAGATCCTTTACTTCCCACCCCTCGGGAAGTAATTCCAGAATATTTTCCAACACAGCTTCAGAATTTCCTCCACTTTTTGAAAAGTACTTCTCTGGGAAGTTATACAGGTGGCAGAGATGGAGTCCACAGGCTCACACTGCCTCCTTCAGAGCAAGAGGTGGGCATGCTATGGCTGACCTGGCCACTCTCGGTTCCCAGGACTTGCTTACCTGGTCCTTTATTTAAAATAAAATAAAATAAAATAAAATAAAATAAAATAAATTGCCAGGCACAGTGGCACATGCCTGCAATCCCAGTGGCAAGGGAGGCTGAGACAGGAGAATCGTGAGTTCAAAGCCAGCCTCAGCAGCGGCTAGGTTCTGAGCAACTCAGTGAGACCCCGTCTCTAAATAAAATACAAAATAGGGCTGGGGAGGTGGTCAGAGGTCAAGTGCCCCAAGTTCAGTCCCTGGTACCAAAAAAGAAAAAACCTCGAGTTTTCATCTGCATTTGGGGTGCACTCTGGATATAACAGAAGAGGGAAAATGTCAGGACACATGACAGTCAAATGGCGCCTTTGGATTGTGGAGGACTCCACTGTCAAAATCAAACAAGGATCTAAGTGACAGCTCTTTACTGAGCGAGAGGGGCCTGGATGTGTTTTATGTCAACATCTAGGATCTGAGGACACGGAGTTCCTGTCACCAGGCCCTGCAGAGCAGCACCAAGTGGTGACAGCCCTAACCTGTGAGTCCCCTGTGTCCTGGGGGCTTCTCACTCACCGACCCTTGTGGTCATGGCCACCTTGGGAGGCGGCATCCTTGGGATCTCTCCTACCAGCAAGGGGAGGGTGGTGTTGTGGGGTACGGCTGCTCCACTCCAAGGCCTCTTTCCTTGACAGGATGGCAGGATGGACTTCCCTTCTAAAGTGAAGGGTGGCCAGGGGCTGGCTGAGGACGGTGAAGCTGGCCAGCCTTCTAGGTGCTGTCTACACGGATCCCTGCTGTGCCACAGACAGCCGCCAGCAGCCCCTCCACCACAACGGCACTCCAAACACCACTAATATACACTTAAAAACAGAACTCAGTCATGCTCAAATAGACGAGGCCCAAAGTGGAACCCACCAATGAGCCAAGGGAGCAGGAGAGGGCAGGTTTAGGAAGGTAGAGTCACGGGCTCTGGGTCAGCGGCAGCTGCAGCAGCGCATGGAAAGAGAAGGGCATGAGGGTTAAGGTGAGGGGGGAAGCCAGGCCCTGGGCAGAGCCACAGGGACAGCTGCAGCCGGAGCCTGGCGGGATGGGGCAGTGGAAACCAGCCAGCGCGGAGTGCACCACCCAGGACGGGTGCTTCTGGGTGAGGGTGGGCACGGGGGCTTTCCAAGGGGGGAGTGCGCGTGTGCTGTTCCCTGAAGGTCCTGTTAGAGCAGCGTGGAGTTGGTAGTGAGCCTCCGGCCCTGGGCTGGGTTCAGACACAGGAGGAGTGCACAGAGAGCCCCCCACGCCTTCCGGCCCCATCAAGGGAGCCCCAGGAATACTTCAGTCCTGTGATGTCAGCTCGGAGGAATTACAGCTCAAAACTGCTTGAAATCGCGTAACTAATGACAGTAAGCCTCGGTGATAATTATCAATCAGCCCAAACCTAGTGTGCTCCTTGGTGGTGGACGGTTTTATTTTGCTAATGACCTCAGATGGTCTGTGCCCAGGGGCAGGCCGGCTTCACGGGCATGCTCAGACCTAGGGCAGGCCCTGGGTGGGCAGTTGTGAAGGTCAGTGTGATACTGAGTTGGAGGAGCCTTTAAGTTGACTCATTCTGTGAAATGAAGCCGCTGAGCAGACACATCTATGGGCCAGGAACGCAAGCCTGTGGCATCACAGCCATCTTTGAGGGCAAGGGCAGGAATGGCTTCCCTGCCGGGTCCTTTTCTGCTGAGTCCAGCAGGTCTGGCTCGAGGTCTTCTGTATGCAGCACCATAGAGCCACTGCCCATCAGCTGGGTTGGCCCAGG